ATGTCTTCATTTTCCAAGCAAATTTGAGTGGTCCCCACCTCTGAATCTTTCCAATGTTTTCAGTGATCCCCTTTTTTTGTTCTCTAAAAACCAAGTGACCCCCCTCCCCGCCAGGCGATAAATAATGACCGGTCGACTGACCGGTCCCTTAGGCCAGGATGGATTTGCGTTGGCCGCGCTCGCCCCAGGAATATTAAATGAAATGCCAGGATAGCCTGTTCCAGGCGTTCAGATTGTAAAGGGCGGGAGAAAAATTCAAGAAGAAAAAAAAAAAACGCGGGGAGACTAGAGGGGGAAATAGGGAGGGAACAACAATTTGTTAACAATGTTTACAGGCATTCCCTCGCTCTCGCCTCTCGCCTCGTCCCCCCCTCATTTTCCCGGTGTACAATTTGACTCGCTCCCCACTGACCGCCGCGCTCTAGTATCTGAACGCCTGGAACAGGCTAATGCCAGGAGGAATGAACGTGTGTTTGAATGGATTCAATAAATACCTCCATGAGTGGATCCGGGGGGGTAATCCCTTATATAAGTTATATAGGTATGTGCCGCCCCATCGGATAGGGTTTTTGCGCTGTTTTGGTCTGAAAACGGGGATACACTTTGCTCATTTTGGTCTGGAATCGGGTATGGGTGTCAAGGGAAGTACGGGAGTGTATGGACGTAATTAATGCTTCAATTCCAAATGAGTAAGAAAGAAAGAGAAATATGCGAATTCGAACTGGATTAGAAGAATTGTTTTGTTTGCGCTCTAAGCTAAGTAATGATAACATAATTTCTGCCCAAAGGCCAGATCTGAAAACGGGTATGGATTTTAGAGGTCTGGTCTGAAAACTGGGGTGGAAAATGACAATTTTTGGTCTGCAATAGGGTCAGGATTTGGAGAACCAGGCGGCACACCCCCACCAGGAATTCCGAGGTGTACCTCCCCCGGAGAATGGATTGAACATATGTTTTCCGTTTTTGCATTGAATCAGTAGGGGGAGAAGGTAACTCTACTGTTTTCCACCTAAGTTTCTTGTCCCACTCCGCCTGCCAGTATGACGTCACCTAGTAATGGGCAAGAGCCTCGGGTCGCTTGTGCAACTTAGCAAGGGATACGACAGTTATGTGGACGAGGGAGGTCGAGGAAAAGCTAAGAAGCTAGCAAATATCGCTATATATCGCTTATTTGATGAAGATAGGTTTTTACCAGAGGTCTAAACAAAATTTTAGGAACCTTAAATGCACGAACCTGTGGACAGATATTTTTTATCAGGGTTATGGGCTCCTCATATTTTCCACCTGTTCAAATTCTGTTTGCAATTCCATACCAATGCAATGGGTCGTTTTAGTCTCATGAAGGAGTAACCATAATTGAAGGGGGACAGGAGGAGTGGTAGGGAGGCAGTATTCTCCCGCACAGCTCCTTTTTTTTGTCTTCGTGTTGCGTGAAAATTGAAACCAAAACGGCTGCGTATAAGACTACTGAGGAAGCTTAAAGGGGCTGTGTCACGGCAGTCCAGTTCATTTTGTTTAATTTTGCCAGTTAATCGCCCTCAATCGCTATGGAACTTAAAGTACGGTAAGCAAAGAAATTACTTGTAAATGACACGAGCAGAGATTCGAGACAAACAAATATGTCTCCTAAGCATTGTTTTGAAGTTGCAAACAGCGGAGATCAACTTTGAAAAACTGTTAGGCTGAACAGTTTTCAAAAACCCTAATTTCAATCCGTTTCAATCTTCTTCAGTTTTGCCCATCCATGGCATCTGTTGTATCTGTTATGATATTTTAACCTTCCTCTTTTATGAGGTTATTTTAACGTTTCTCTTAATTTAACGGGCATTTTGTAATTACCTAATTTGGCTGAATTTCGTGACACAGCTCCTTTAATGTAAATGTGTTTGTACGACAGCAATCTCGACTTGAATGAATGGCAATTTACATGAACCAACCTGTAATAAGTGTTCGCAAACTTGTAAGGCGTCTGACCAACCACATTGTTTGATAATATGCAGATCCTGATTTTGTGCTTGATTCGTGAGCAGGATTCAATAAGTTTGCCAACCAATAAACATTTCCAAGGGCTTTGAGGGAAGGGAAGCTTGGAGTGGGTTCTCAATCATAATGCAGTCCCTCTTCCTCACTACATGTAGTCTCCTAAACAGTCATTGTGGTGTGTCTATCATCACGCAACGAAACGGCACACAAAAAAAGCTACGTAAGTGAATACTTCCTCCCTACCTCTCCTTATGTCCCCTTCAAATATTGTTTCTCCTTCTAGACTAAACTGAACCCATGTATGGAATGTAGGAAAAATGTGAGCCAGAGTATTGACTTTTTATTTAAAGAAACTCATTGTTCATTTAAGGCTGAATTACAAAGCTACTTAAAATCGTAAAATAATATAGCTACTTACAATTGTAAAAAAAATAATAATAACAATAATATTGTACAAAAATAGATAATAAATCCTTTAATAGTGATAATATAAATTAACACATTTTCTTCAAATTAAGGTTCCTAAAATACGTTTAGACCTCTGGAAAAGTTCATCTGCAAAAATTAGGGGTGATCCACGGGGGTATAGTCCATGGACCGGATCCACGAAGAGGTCCATGGACTAAGTCCACAAAGGTGGTCCATATTTTGTAAACGTCCATGAAAAAGTGGCTTTTAAGGGATGCAAGCTCCAGACAGTTATGACAAACCACCCACATTACTGATAATGGCTGTAATCTTAAGGCAATTGCCGTCTGAAATTTCACATTGAACTGCCATAGTGCGTGTGATCTTAACTCAAACATGGTTAAATCTAAGGCCTGTTTCAAACGTCGTGCTACTGCCGTGCTAAGCTGGCTCGACTGTAGTTCGACTGCATGACGACACTAGCACGACTTGGTTTCAGGTCGTCGAATTTAATTCACACAATGATAGTCGAATGGAACTGCTGTTGCCAAAAACAAAACACAAAAATAAAGAAACGGTTTGGCAAACTTTTGAATATATTCTAATGTATTTATAATTTATGAATTGAGTTCGGCACGGCGGTAGCACGACGTTTGAAACCAAGGTCGAGCTACTGCCGTGTAGCACGGCAAGGCTTGCCGTGCTACAAGGCAATAGCACGACTTGGTTTCAAACGTCGCGCTACTGCCGTGTTAAAGTCGAATTTAATTCGATCAACTGAGTTCGGCACGGCAGTAGCACAACGTTTGAAACGGGCCTAAGTGGCGATTTTCTAGGCGCTAATGGACAAGCCACTGATAAAACTGCAGGAGAAGTAACCTCAACGTTGCAAAAGTGAGATACAAAAAATAAAAATAAAAAATTAATGTACCGGTGTCGTTTAGTACGTGGGTTATAAATTCTAGAGTCAAGAAAATGCGGTATATTTTTAGATTAGAAAACAAACAAACAAACTAAAACAAAACTGAAAAAACATTGTCACTTACAATTAAGACATAACAACAACAAGAAACTTTAACTTTTATTTTATTCGTAGATAACTGGCAAGCCAGACGTTCTTACAAACTAACATTATGTATCTCAATTAGAAAAATATAGTTTACACAACAGTCACTTTCAGCTTTTTTTTTTCCTATTTAACCAAATACCGCACCTTCAGAGGAGGAACGCCCTTCCGCCCGTACAGACTGTCAGGAAGGGACAGAGTAGATCGCGGGAAAGGGATGAGGGAAACCAAGACAACAGCTTGCGTTTGTCTTGGCAAAAAGTTAACCTGTTCACCTAAGGGGAGCCACTGGAGTATGTTCCAGTCAAAATCTTGAAGCTTTTTTTCTTAATTTGAAGTTCTATTTTTAAGGCTTTGCTTTTAGCTTGGTCACGCTCCAAGATCAATCTAGTCTCAGACTGGCCAAAGTTTTGACACACGGAAACACTTATGCAGCATCTTGAAGTTTCATCACCGACAACTGAAACTTTGTGTGATTTTCAGTTTTAAACTGAATATTTTTGTCTTTTGAATGCCGTCACACCATGAAACACAGCTGCTATCAAGACTCTTTTGTTGTTCAAAGCTAGTTTGATGCCTTTGTTTATTTATTTATTTATTTGTTTTGAGGAAAGCGTCACATAAACAGAATTCACAGATGGCGGTGTTTTTTGAACGTTCATACAGGCATTTAAAGCAAAGGGCGTTTCTGACCTCATTTGCTGCCTTTCAGGAGCTGCTCATCAGGTGAGGTTGATCACTATTAAAATGTTTTTCTGTCTGGTTTGAGTTGTGTATGATGTGGGGTGTAATTAAGTATATCAGTTTACACTTAACATTATAGTTGCCTGGTTTTCACTTTGTAACCATTTACTAAACTAATTCTAGTAATAGCATCTGAAATATCCCTATGCAGTAATCGATTCGCAGCATTTGTGACCTGTATTTGCCGTTTACCTAGTGTTCTTTACGAACGATTTATGATTTCATTTCTTGTGGTAGTAGAGCTCTTAAGTCTCATTTGCTTTCATCATCAACTTCTTTCCTTACAATATGTATGATTTGCCCAAAAGCCTATGTACTCTACCGATTGACTTTGATCATTGTTTTCATCCTGCGATATGAACTACTTCAATTATAAAACTAACTGGTTAGCCTGTGTATTTCAAAGCTCACAGGTGACGTTATGGTTCTCTCACGACTTCATGTTGGGATACGCGATGTTTAACCTTATTGATCAGCCCCTGAATTTTCTGATTCATCTCCATCGCTGTCTTCGCTGATGTCAGAAGGACACATAAAATCCATCTCTTCCACTACTTTTGAAGTGTCCGTGTTCTCACCAATCTGTTCAACAATGGGGCAAACTGCTCCAGTGAGGGTTAACACATTGTGCTCTTTCCTCATTCGTTCCAGTTGAAACCGCTCTAATGACAACATCTCGGATTTTAATCCTTCAGATTAATTTGAAAGAATCCCCAAATGAAGTACAACCAACTACTTTGTTCTCTTTTGGGGACACAGTCATGAAAGAAATGTTGTCACCCTCCAGTGGAATTTTAATAAACGAAATGGCTCTCCGCTCAAGTAAGTCCCACAAGAACACAGCACCATCAATACCATATGATATGATGTAGCGATTCCCATTCAAAACCGACAAAACTCGATTTTGCCTAAATGGGCACGAGGTAGCTCGTTCAAATAGGGCTGATTGGTAGGATTGTTAAGCGAGTAGAGTAGGATTCGATCCACAACGCAACAAGCCAGTAGATCATTGTTCGGTGAAACGGTACAAAAGGTAATCTTGTCATTCTCGTTGTAAAGCACATCGAGAGCTAGTCTTGTTAATAAATGACATGGACTTGCTGCCTGATCCCATATCTCAATATAGAGCTCAGTGCACAACACTATTTTGTTATCAACTGTAAAACAGCAGCAGAAATTCTCAGAAAGAAGCCCTGGTGGGTCAAATGACTGTGGTTCTACTTTCTTCCTTACGTCCCAAACAAACGCGAAGGGCCAATTCCTGTCCCGTAGGATACAAAAAAGAAGTAAGGCATTGTCAGCTGAGAATATAAGCTCAACGACTTTAAATTCGTAGTCAGCTTCAAAAACGGAACATACAAACTGACAACCGTCTTGTCCGATTGTATCGTGCAACGTTATCATGCTGCCATGGTGAGCGGCAATTAGCTTTCCGTCCGAAGAAAATGCGCATTTCTCCACTTGCCAAGTGCCAAGCGAACCTGAGAAACCTTGAAAAAATAAAGTGTCAGTACATCGATCACCAGCTCCTTGAAACAACGCAACTGATGAGTCCACATAAAGAACCAGGAAAGTGTCATCTGAAACAAAGTTTGCTTGCATTGGTTTTCTCGATGATGGAATAAGAAAATGTTTCAAAAAATCACAAGGGAAGTTTCGCAAAAGCAAAGTTTTACCCTCGTCATCGGCCTGAAAATGATAGCCAGCTTGCCCTTCAGAACTGAAGAATAACGGGCTAACTCCTGAGACGCTTTGCAGAATGGTTCCCGATTGGAGGGAGAAAGCGTGAAGTGTGTTGTGAACACTTAAGTACAAGAAAAAATGAGTGGTCATTTGTGAAACTGAATTGGGCGACCTCCTTGATGACGTATTCTGGGTTGTTGAATGTTGCTGCTGATATGGATGTAGTACACGAAACAAGTAGACCACATCTTTAACAAACGGTTTGGCCACCCATATCACTCCTGGTGGTGATAAGCAAGGTATACTGTCAGAGAAAAACACTTTTCTGCCTTCATCAGGGAGATTTTCCAGTTCGGACGCTGTTATAGGTGAAACTGTCGACAAGAGTGAAGCCCTTTCTATTGCTTCATAAGTGTCATCGTTGGATAAGTCGGTAAATGTATAAGTCGATGAGGCTCACTCTTTCTCTCTTACCTCTTCAAGAGTGTCATCGTCAGATAAGACGAGCGTGTCCAATAACCTTATGTGGTGGTGGAAGCTGTCTACAACAGTAGTGGTGCCTGTCTGGAGACAGAGGGCACATAGACGGAACTCATGAGGAGTCACATAAAGAACTACATCCTCCTCCACGGGAGCATAACTCATGAAGGAGTAACCATAATTGAAGGGGGACAGGAGGAGTGGTAGGGAGGCAGTATTCTCCCGCACAGCTCCTTTTTTTTGTCTTCGTGTTGCGTGAAAATTGAAACCAAAACGGCTGCGTATAAGACTACTGAGGAAGCTTAAAGGGGCTGTGTCACGGCAGTCCAGTTCATTTTGTTTAATTTTGCCAGTTAATCGCCCTCAATCGCTATGGAACTTAAAGTACGGTAAGCAAAGAAATTACTTGTAAATGACACGAGCAGAGATTCGAGACAAACAAATATGTCTCCTAAGCATTGTTTTGAAGTTGCAAACAGCGGAGATCAACTTTGAAAAACTGTTAGGCTGAACAGTTTTCAAAAACCCTAATTTCAATCCGTTTCAATCTTCTTCAGTTTTGCTCATCCATGGCATCTGTTGTATCTGTTATGATATTTTAACCTTCCTCTTTTATGAGGTTATTTTAACGTTTCTCTTAACTTAACGGGCATTTTGTAATTACCTAATTTGGCTGAATTTCGTGACACAGCTCCTTTAATGTAAATGTGTTTGTACGACAGCAATCTCGACTTGAATGAATGGCAATTTACATGAACCAACCTGTAATAAGTGTTCGCAAACTTGTAAGGCGTCTGACCAACCACATTGTTTGATAATATGCAGATCCTGATTTTGTGCTTGATTCGTGAGCAGGATTCAATAAGTTTGCCAACCAATAAACATTTCCAAGGGCTTTGAGGGAAGGGAAGTTTGGAGTGGGTTCTCAATCATAATGCAGTTCCTCTTCCTCACTACATGTAGTCTCCTAAACAGTCATTGTGGTGTGTCTATCATCACGCAACGAAACGGCACACAAAAAAAGCTGCGTAAGTGAATACTTCCTCCCTGCCTCTCCTTATGTCCCCTTCAAATATTGTTTCTCCTTCTAGACTAAACTGAACCCATGTATGGAATGTAGGAAAAATGTGAGCCAGAGTATTGACTTTTTATTTAAAGAAACTCATTGTTCATTTAAGGCTGAATTACAAAGCTACTTAACATCGTAAAATAATATAGCTACTTACAATTGTAAAAAAAATAATAATAACAATAATATTGTACAAAAATAGATAATAAATCCTTTAATAGTGATAATATAAATTAACACATTTTCTTCAAATTAAGGTTCCTAAAATACGTTTAGACCTCTGGAAAAGTTCATCTTCAAAAATTAGGGGTGATCCACGGGGGTATAGTCCATGGACCGGATCCACGAAGAGGTCCATGGACTAAGTCCACAAAGGTGGTCCATATTTTGTAAACGTCCATGAAAAAGTGGCTTTTAAGGGATGCAAGCTCCAGACAGTTATGACAAACCACCCACATTACTGATAATGGCTGTAATCTTAAGGCAATTGCCGTCTGAAATTTCACATTGAACTGCCATAGTGCGTGTGTTCTTAACTCAAACATGGTTAAATCTAAGGCCTGTTTCAAACGTCGTGCTACTGCCGTGCTAAGCTGGCTCGACTGTAGTTCGACTGCATGACGACACTAGCACGACTTGGTTTCAGGTCGTCGAATTTAATTCACACAATGACAGTCGAATGGAACTGCTGTTGCCAAAAACAAAACACAAAAATAAAGAAACGGTTTGGCAAACTTTTGAATATATTCTAATATATTTATAATTTATGAATTGAGTTCGGCACGGCGGTAGCACGACGTTTGAAACCAAGGTCGAGCTACTGCCGTGTAGCACGGCAAGGCTTGCCGTGCTACAAGGCAATAGCACGACTTGGTTTCAAACGTCGCGCTACTGCCGTGTTAAAGTCGAATTTAATTCGATCAACTGAGTTCGGCACGGCAGTAGCACAACGTTTGAAACGGGCCTAAGTGGCGATTTTCTAGGCGCTAATGGACAAGCCACTGATAAAACTGCAGGAGAAGTAACCTCAACGTTGCAAAAGTGAGATACAAAAATAAAAATAAAAAATTAATGTACCGGTGTCGTTTAGTACGTGGGTTATAAATTCTAGAGTCAAGAAAATGCGGTATATTTTTAGATTAGAAAACAAACAAACAAACTAAAACAAAACTGAAAAAACATTGTCACTTACAATTAAGACATAACAACAACAAGAAACTTTAACTTTTATTTTATTCGTAGATAACTGGCAAGCCAGACGTTCTTACAAACTAACATTATGTATCTCAATTAGAAAAATATAGTTTACACAACAGTCACTTTCAGCTTTTTTTTTTCCTATTTAACCAAATATCGCACCTTCAGAGGAGGAACAAAAACGGAATTTGAGGTTTTAACATTATTCAGTTAAAGGGAACCTCAACTGTAGTAAAAATTTGACTTTAACTTACAACTGTATAAATGAATACTTAATTTCAACTCTTTTTTTTCCTATAAAGGGAATGGAGAATTTAAAAATTGGATTTTTGGTATGCAACAGCGGCCGGAACCAAAATGCAACGACGGGCAAAGAAATGCACGTGCAACATTATTGATTTGCTTGTTTAACTTATTATGTTTTTTTGCCGTTCTCGTTGCCGTCGCCGTTGTCGTTACTTAAGCTCTCCAATGGCCAGAGCAAAATGTGTTAAAAAATTACAAAATCATGTGTCGCGCGGGAAATTTTATAGCAAAAACAGGCCATTTTTTCCTTATGGTATTTACTTTAACTACTGGAAGTTCCATCTTCTTTAGAACAGAGTTCCGGTCACATTGATATAACAGTGGAGGTCCCCTTTTAACCCTCTCATTCACAAATGTGGCAAAAGTAAATATTCCACAAAATTTCTTTTTGGAAAAGATGAATAGCAAAAGGTTTCATATGAAAGTACTCAGTCAAAGAGTTTTCATTTCAATTATTTGAATGGTCACACCGCTGAATTTGGTCGATATATTCAAAAGTTAGAATGACCTTTAATACTGCACAAGACTTCATCATTCACTCAGGGAGACAGAGGGTAAAGACGAGTAGCAATCATTCTACGGCGCTAACGTTCTAGGTCGTTTCGCAAACGCTTTATCGAATGGTGTCTTTTTCAAATCGGATATAGAACGTTAGAGAAATGACCCAAGACGTTAACGAAACGCTCGGGCTCACGCAGTCCTTTGAGGAGCACGTAACCACCCTGTACGAAAATGTCAAAGAATAAACTGTCAAATTGATTGCACGTCGTAAAATCAAAGTAAATAAAGTAAGGTTAAAACGCTCTACAAAATCTCAAAACTACTTTAATTTTAGACTAGCGGATTGTTGCTTTACGATTTTTACCTTTCTGGCAAGGCCATAATCAAACTCAGACTATTATTCAGAAATGCAACTCAATTTTGAGCTAACAAACTATGAACTCGTTCTCTAATTTCATGAGTCATCTTTCTCAGTTGCAATTCTAACGCACACTGTCACAGATAGGCAAATAAAGTCAGCTATGGGCTATCACATTTTACGTTCACTTACGATTTATTTATTTATTTTAATATTTTTTAAGAAATAAAATTATCATTACGAGACAGTTTAAGTCAAAGGGCAACGGATCTGGAAATGCAAGTCGTTATGCAGAGATTCATTTTAATGGCGAAGCCTCCATTGCTATAGAAATTGGAAATCTATTGATGCGAGAAAATTTGGATAAGACGTCACCGCACGCCCTTCCGCCCGTACAGACTGTCAGGAAGGGACAGAGTAGATCGCGGGAAAGGGATGAGGGAAACCAAGACAACAGCTTGCGTTTGTCTTGGCAAAAAGTTAACCTGTTCACCTAAGGGGAGCCACTGGAGTATGTTCCAGTCAAAATCTTGAAGCTTTTTTTCTTAATTTGAAGTTCTATTTTTAAGGCTTTGCTTTTAGCTTGGTCACGCTCCAAGATCAATCTAGTCTCAGACTGGCCAAAGTTTTGACACACGGAAACACTTATGCAGCATCTTGAAGTTTCATCACCGACAACTGAAACTTTGTGTGATTTTCAGTTTTAAACTGAATATTTTTGTCTTTTGAATGCCGTCACACCATGAAACACAGCTGCTATCAAGACTCTTTTGTTGTTCAAAGCTAGTTTGATGCCTTTGTTTATTTATTTATTTATTTGTTTTTGAGGAAAGCGTCACATAAACAGAATTCACAGATGGCGGTGTTTTTGAACGTTCATACAGGCATTTAAAGCAAAGGGCGTTTCTGACCTCATTTGCTGCCTTTCAGGAGCTGCTCATCAGGTGAGGTTGATCACTATTAAAATGTTTTTCTGTCTGGTTTGAGTTGTGTATGATGTGGGGTGTAATTAAGTATATCAGTTTACACTTAACATTATAGTTGCCGGGTTTTCACTTTGTAACCATTTACTAAACTAATTCTAGTAATAGCATCTGAAATATCCCTATGCAGTAATCGATTCGCAGCATTTGTGACCTGTATTTGCCGTTTACCTAGTGTTCTTTACGAACGATTTATGATTTCATTTCTTGTGGTAGTAGATCTCCTAAGTCTCATTTGCTTTCATCATCAACTTCTTTCCTTACAATATGTATGATTTGCCCAAAAAGCCTATGTACTCTACCGATTGACTTTGATCATTGTTTTCTATCCTGCGATATGAACTACTTCAATTATAAAACTAACTGGTTAGCCTGTGTATTACAAAGCTCACAGGTGACGTTATGGTTCTCTCACGACTTCATGTTGGGATACGCGATGTTTAACCTTATTGATCAGCCCCTGAATTTTCTGATTCATCTCCATCGCTGTCTTCGCTGATGTCAGAAGGACACATAAAATCCATCTCTTCCACTACTTTTGAAGTGTCCGTGTTCTCAGCAATCTGTTCAGCATTGGGGCAAACTGCTCCAGTGAGGGTTAACACATTGTGTTCTTTCCTCATTCCTTCCAGTTGAAACCTCTCTAATGACAACATCTCGGATTTTAATCCGTTCAGACTTATTTGAAAGAATCCTCCAAACGAAGCACAAAAAACTACTTTGTTTTCTTTTGGGGACACGGTCATGAAAGAAATGTTGTCACCCTCCCGTGGAATTCTAATAAACGAAATGGCTCTCCACTCAAGTAAGTCCCACAAGAACACAGCACCATAAAAAAAAAAGAAGTAAGGCATTGTCAGCTGAGAATATAAGCTCAAAGACTTTAAATTCGTAGTCAGGTTCAAAAACGGAACATAGAAACTGACAACCGTCTTGTCCGATTGCATCGTGTAACGTTATCATGTTGCCATGGTGAGCGGCAATAAGCTTTCCGTCCGAAGAAAATGCGCATTTCTCCACTTGCCAAGGGCCAAGCGAACCTGAGAGACGTTGAGAAAATAAAGTGTCAGTACATCGTTCACCAGTTGCCTGAAATGACGCAACTGATGAGTCCACATAAAGGACCAGGAAAGTGTCATCTGAAACAAAGTTTGCTTGCATTGGTTTTCTCGCTGATGGAATAAGAAAATGTTTCAAAAAATCTCAAGGGAAGTCTTGCAAAAGCAGAGTTTTACCTTCGTCATCGGCCTGAAAATGATAGCCAGCTTGCCCTTCAAAATTGAAGAATAACGGGCTAACTCCTGAGACGCTTTGCAGAATGGTGCCCGATTGGAGGGAGAAAGCGTGAAGTGTGTCGTGAACACTTAAGTACGAGAAAAATGAGTGGTCATTTGTGAAACCGAATTGGGCGACCTCCTTTATGACGTATTCTGGGTTGTTGGAATGTTGCTGCTGATATGGATGTATTACACGAAACAAGAAGACCCCAGTCTCAGCATCGTTAACAAACGGTTTGGCCACCCATATCACTCCTGGTGGTGATAAGCAAGGTATACTGTCACAGAAAAACACTTTTTTGCCTTCATCAGGGAGATTTGACAGTTCGAACGCTACTATAGGTGAAACTGTTGACAAGACTGAAGCCCTTTCTATTGCTTCATAAGTGTCATCGTTAGATAAGTCGGTAAATGTATAAGTCGATGAGGCTGAGGCTGAGGCTTTCTCTCTCTTTCTCTTCTCTCTTCAATAGTTTCACCGACGGAGAAGGCGCAGGTGCGAGGTTCAACTAGATTCTGTTCAAGGTCCGATAACCTCATGTAGGCGTGGAAGCTGTCCAGAACAGTAGTGGTGCCGGTCTGGAGACAGAGGGCACATCGAAGGAACTCATGAGTCTCATAAAGAACTATATCGTCCTCCACGCGAGCATAGTGTTTGACGTCTTTAATGACACGTGCCACGTTCTGGCTAACGACGCTACCTTTATCCACATTAAAGCTAACTATTCCATCAGGACCAGGCCGATACCATTTGAATGGACTACGTGGGGGCAGGAAAGGATAAAAAACATAGAATTCTACCAATTTACTTACTTTACAGAAGAGAAGGTGATGACAAATAGTGCTTAGTAACGCAATATTGGAGAGTGACAAAGCTTTACCCGTGCCGGTAAAAAGTGTGCCACATACCTCAAATGCTGTGCTCAGGTGAAAAAAATGAATAAAGGGGCTCACCTCGACACGGCCGGAAGATGAGGATAGATTAAGCACAGGTTTACCCGTTTGCATATCAAAAACTTGATATTTAAATACCTCAGAGTAGTGGTCAATAACAAACTGACGAACTTCTTCCAAGGTTAATGCTTTATAGTCTTTTGCTGTTTTACAGCTCTTACAACTTGAAACCAGAAACGTTCCATCTCCTCTAGTAAGTCGTACCTTTTGTAAAAGTGAACACCATTCTTCCTGCTTCATTTCGCTGAGGAGATCTAACAATGACCTCATTGCTGTAATGCGCGAACCTTGATAGGCTGCTAATTGGGAATATTTTCTTGTCACTTTCAGCTTGTCAGGAAAACATCGACATAAGGGTTCTCTTTCCCGGCTCTGTACAATTTCCAATTTGGCCCACAAACAAAGGTGATTTAAAAGGCACAACCAGCACTTGGGAGTAAGTAAACTCTTACACTTCACCACGATGTGTTGTCGATCATGGGTAAACGAAAACCATTCAGATGAAAGATGAACTGTTTGTGATGGGAAATATGTTTCAATAATTCCTCGTTTTACTGAGAACACTCTATCAAATTTTCCAAATAAGACAAAATTACCACAGGAAGAAAATATCAGACGTTTTACGTCTACCAATTCTTCTGTTTTGACTGGGCCAAGCAACCTTTCAAGGGAGCATGAATTGTACAACGAGATGCATCCGTTTTTGACTTCCGCTAAAAACTTCCTATCAGGAGAAAAAGCGAAGCAACTCCTGACCTTGTTACCAGTGGCTTTAGGAGCAGGGAAAGGAAGCCAACTCCACTCCATCCAAGTGGTGGACACTCCATCGGGAATTGTCATGTTTAATTTGACAGCTTTGGACACCATTTGCAGGCAGGAAGGAAGAAGATGTGGACATTCCAGAAGAGTATGGGTATGTCTTTCCAGCGCTCTGCAAACTCCTTGCAGAATTTCCTTTTCAGTATCATCAAGAGTCTGTGAGCAAGCAGAAAGCTTGAGATCACCAATCACAGAATAAACGCCAATCCGGCTTTTCTGTATTCTCTGCTGGATAAAATGGTAGCTGGTCATGCAGTTGTAAACGATCTTCATCGAACATGCGTCATCGTAACCACACAAAACACGAACGCCAACATGCAAGACATAGTCCAGAAAATCTTTTTCGACAGACGGATGTTTCTTCGCGGATGAGAAGTCCATTACAGAGGGAAGAAATTCGAGAACAATATTTTTTAAGCACTCACCTGCTTTGGTAGTGTCGACAAAAAATCGTCGAGCTTTGTTCCTGTCGGTCAGCCAGGATTGGATTAAGTTGTGAAGAAAGGCAAAGGTCAGATCAGAAGCTCGGAGTACCAAAAATATTGAAACGGTGTCAATAACTTCTTGTTCGTCCAGGTTTGATTTTTCCCTCTTTACAAGGAATGAAATAAATGACCGCGGAAGAGGAGAAGGAGAAGCTGCAACACAACCGAACAAAGTTCTGAACAGATCTGCTCCCACTTTATCAAAAATGCGCTTGAAATTTACATAAAAAAAATCATCAATATCCCCTGGGAAAAGTTCAGTCAGTTCACCAATGTTACCTGAACATGCTAAATTATTTAACACTTCTACCATGTAGAACGCGTACAAGAACAACCCACTGCACTTCTTTGTTACGATTTCAACTGTGCATGGGAGACAGGAAAAATCGACTCTTTTCTCCAAAAATTGCTTTATGTCCTGCTCGTGCTGCTGATAAACATTAAGATGTTTGCCGTATCCAGCGCATATTTTAACGCAAGGGTTATAATTTTTCAGAGTGAACTGCACGGTATCTTCAGGGCGACTGGTGATAAAAAACAAAAGCCACTTTGGAAGCCGGGGAAAACGGTGCATAACCAGATCTAGAAAATCGTCCCTGGACTTGTACTCTGTCTCATCTAGAGCGTCAATAATGACTAACTTTCTTTGTTCACAAGGCGTGCACTTACCTAAAGGTTCTTGTAACAGTTTCGTAAACAACCCACCAATACTTAACTTACTATTGGCTAATGTCATTCTTACACCACCCTCCCCTCCCACTATATTACTGTATTGAACACTACATTTACAAAGTTGGCAAGCTATAGTACCTAAAAGACATCTGGGATCATTTCTTGTCTCGTCATTGTGACGACAAAAGAAAGCAGCGCCTAAGTACCCAGCATCCAGTGCCCGCTTTGCCAGGGCTCCTGCTATTACACTTTTGCCAACTCCCGCATCACCCAGGAGAACATAAGCTCTGGAGTCACCAGGAGCATGGAACCACTTGTTAATATCTCCAAAGAGCCACTCTCTCGTTTCTGGATCGTGTCGCTCACTGAAAAAGGCGATATCGGCTTCAAAATCGGAAATTTCTAAGGGGGAAAGTAGGAAGAAAAACAAAGTGCTTAGACGAAGAAAGCTAGATTACATTTCAGTGATCCACATTTCCTTACTTGAGTAAAAACCTTTTCTATTAGACTTCCAATTTTTCTTAAGAACAAGAAAAAGGAACAGCGTTTACGTTAACAGCTTGGTCTTTACTGTAAATCCATTATAACACATGAATGACACAGAGACTGAACTTTACTATGTTATCTTTTTCGCGATCCGAATGAATATAACTTGACAATGACGTCACAATTGTTTTTGCTCCTCATTGAATTTCAGTCCTAAGTCGTATTTCCCCTGGGAATGCACTACGCTACGTATACTTTGGGTGCCTGTCTTCTGCTTTGCGAAGTTTCACACAAATCTATATTTTAGGAATCAGTAAAGATACTGTAGGTTACTTACTAGATTTCTGGAACGATTTTACAACTTATTCGTTAAAAAAATGTCTCTTTAACATTCACCAAAACACTCGAGAGAGCTACACATGCGCGATTTCGAATAACAAAATGTATATCTAGCCGGATTTTTGAAAACGTTACCGCCAAATGGACCTTTTTGTGTCCAACGGTTTTTATCTGGCAAAAAACCACAGCAGCCATTACAAAAACTAAGACTGCAACCACTGCTTTTTTTCTATTCTTCTTCTTTCTTCCTCGTCGCTCTTTCTTTTTCCTTTGTTAGTATTGTGATCACGTTTGCAGCTTATCAAGCCCCCAAAACCTGCCTTTTGACGCCATTTCACACAAATGACTGCAATTTTCGATAGGTTGGTTTTCAAAACATCGGCTAGATATTCATCACGGTAATGTACAATACTGAGCTCTTTTTGCAATTTGTAAGGCGACTTTTACGAAAAGAAGTGATAATATCAAAATTCGTAGATAGATTTACTTCCATTAAAATTTTCAGAGCTAAAATTGATCAGTGTAACAGGCTACAAAATCACTGAATTTCATTGCTGTCCATTGAAAGTTGTCTATAACGTTTGGACAAAATTTGAATAAAAGTTGAAGTTATGGATAATTTTACGCGTTTTAGTCATTCAATGGGCAGACGCGTCATCAACTTGATTTATTGCGAATATTAATTTTGGAAATTCGCTTATTATAAAGTTCTCTTTTAAACGAAAAATTTAAAGCTTTAAATGTAGGTTTGCAATCATCACCTTTGGTATTTTGGATACGCTTTCCAATATCATTCAAACAC